TTCCTTAAAGATGAGGAGCACGACATGTTTCTTTTTTTAGCAGGCAATCCTGAAGGTTACCACATCAAAGTATCTGACCTGATGGAGCAGTGGATGTGTGAAGCTCGATCGAGCTCCACTTAATCAATTTAACGTCCCATCTCGCGTTGACTCGGCTCGAAGTTGCGTGGACTTGAGCGTGCCCACCTTAGAGTCGTAGAATCCGTTTGTAGAAAGAATGCTCTTACAATGCTTGAGGCTCACAAGACTTGGAAACGGTAGATGCAAGTGCTGAGTCGAAAGACTCAGCCCTTTATATAGTCTCGAGGACTTTGTTCCGGAAATATCTTGATACTACTAGTAACATGCTTAGTAATCTATCATAGAGCTGTCTCATATATATTCTAGAAACCTGGCGACTATTCTGTATAGTAGTTCACATACTATATTAGTCTTTTGTCCAGAATCTTCTAGTAAATGGCATAACTTCGTTATGCCTTCCCTCTCAAGGGGATGTCGGGTCTTTTCATTCTCTTGATTATGTTCTAGACCTTTCCATGAGACATGGTGCGTCCTTATGATAGATTACATCAGTGTGGCGGTACAACAAGTCTATTCCCGTCCTATAATCGAACCCAATTTCATTCCCGTTTCTCAAATCAAGTCTAATGTACCTTATTATACAAAATCAGCCATATCTTCCTCAATATTTGTCCGTTCGAGTTGATTCTTTTTCTATTAAGTTCTAAATTAAGTCTATTTTTTGTTCATTTAACTATTCTAGCATCATCTAATCTTACAACTATCCCCCCCTTCGAAAATCGACGTCCCTGTCGATGGGGCTAGTTATGCTATATGTATCTAAAAGCTCCTCATTTTCTTGGTCGTAGTCCTTGTCTTTCCTTGGATGATGAATTTTGATAGGCTCGTGTAGATGTTGCACCTCCTCTTGTTGATACATCATGATGTCTTCTTCCATATCGTTGCAAAAATTCATTGATTAAAGTTTGGCTTCCTCGAAGATGATCCTCCGGTTCCCATGTAGCGTCATAGTACTGATAGCCTTTCCAATGGACTAAGTACTGCCGCTTTCCATGGAATATTCTGGTGTCCAGAATTCTTTGTACTTCATAGATGTCTTCACTTGGTCTAACTGCTCTTTGATGTGTCGCAGGCTGTGTTGTACGCACTCGAGATCCACTATGCCAAGCCTTGAGTCGTGACACGTGGAATACTAGATGTGCGGACCAAGTATTAGGCAATTTCAATACATAGGCTGTTTTTGAGATCTTCCTTTGTATTGTAAAAGGTCCAACAAACTTTTGTCGGAACTTTGGATCTGGTTGTATTCCTGGCCCTATAAGAAATGCCCTTTTTCCTTTTCCTGTCGACAACATCACTTTGTCGCCTTCATTGAATTCTTCTTGTCTTCGATGCTGATCCGTATATTCTTTTTGTCGTTGTTGCGCTTCTTCCAGACTTCGCATTGCATCCTCAAAATCATCTTCCAGCTGCTTCACCCAATCTTTTACAGACTGAATCCTTTCCTCTTTGGCTCCGGTAATGATGTCCAAAACGGAATCTGGGTTGTAGCCATAATTGAGATAAAACGGTGAATATCCTGTCGATATATTGACAAAATTATTTATAGCATATTTAGCTGCTGCTAACCGTTTATCCCAATCTTCTGATTTGAAGATAGTATATGTCCGCAAAATCTGTTCTACTACATTATTCATCTTCTCTGATTGACCATCAGTTTGAGGATGATATGCTGTAGAGAACCGTAGTTTGGTGCCAACAAGTTTCATCAAACTACGCCAGAAAATGCTCACAAATTGAGAGTCTCGATCGGATATGATACTCCTTGGTATGCCATGCATTTTCCAGACATGGTCTTTGAATAATTCAGCCACTTCTAGGGCTGAAACATCAGTTTTTGTGGCGATAAAATGAGTCATTTTAGTCGCCCTGTCGACCACTGTCATAATCGCATCATTGCCGCTTGATGATTTCGGCAATTCTGTGATGAAATCCATACTGATATCTCGCCATTTACCTCTCGGTATTGGTAATGGCTGTAGTAATCCTGACGGTGCTTGTCTTAATGACTTCATTTCCTGACACTTCCGACAGCTGAATACATAGTCCTTTATATCTTCAGTAATTCCATGCCACCAAAATCCGCGGTTGACTGCTTGCACAGTCTTTTGATAGCCAAGATGTCCTGCTGATTCACTGTCATGAAGTTCTTCCAAAATCTTCTGTTTTACCGTCTTGCTATTGGGAATGTACACTACCCAATCGGACTGGTCATCACCTTCCCGTTTGGTGTACATTAAATTTCCTTCAAGCTTGAATTGTCTCCTGAACTTGGCCACAATTGTCTTGTCTCTGCTGGGTTTCAGCAGAGTTTTCATCTCCTCATACAGGTCATCTCTTGAGTAACCATGCAGAATTTGGTTTCTCAAGCCATCAGCTCCTCGTAGATGCGTCACACCACTGCATTGCTGCTTGGCACCCGGTCGCCTAGTTGGTTTCTCAGAAGCTTCTTCGTCTCTCCTACTCAGTGCATCTGCAACCAAATTTTTCCATCCTTGAATATGCTCGACTTCAAAGTCGTAATGCTGCAGCTGTTCCATCCACTTAAAAATTCGTCCCATGAATTTTTCTTGAGAAAACATGTATCTCAAGGAGTGGTGATCTGTTTTCAGCTTGAAGTGACGGCTGAAAAGATAATGCCGCTATGTAGTACATGAGTGTAATACAGCGAGTAATTCACGTTCGTATGTTGAATATTGCCTTTCAGCACTATTCAGCTTTCGGCTTTCATATGCTACTGGCTGCAAACCATGACCATCATCTTGCTGCAATATGCCTCCTAGAGCAAAACTGGATGCGTCTGTATGTACTACAAATGGTTTTGCCAAATCTGGCAAAAGCAACACTGGTGCAGTACATAACGCCTTTTTCAGCTCACTCATAGCCTTGTTCTGTTCAGCCCCCCATTGAAAAGGTATATCCTTCTTAGTCAGCTCAGTGAGCGGTTTGGCAATAGCAGAAAATCCTTTGATGAATTTCCTGTAAAAGTTAGTTAATCCTACAAACGATCGTACTTGACGTACTGATGTTGGGGTAGGCCACTCTCTGATAGCCTCAATTTTAGAAGGGCTGACTTTGATGCCTTCGGCACTGACGTCATGTCCAAGATACTCTAGCTGCTTTCGAAAAAGTCACACTTACTAACCTTGGCATAAAGTCGATGTTTTCTGAGCTGTTGAAGAACTAGTCTTAAATGTTCTTCATGCTCTTTCAAATTTTTACTGTATATAAGGATGTCATCTAGAAATACAACAACAAACTTATCCAGATATGGATGCAATATACTATTCATCAACCTCATAAAAGTAGCTGGTGCGTTACATAATCCAAAAGGCACTACAGTAAACTCGAAATGACCGTACCTGGTTCTGAACGCTGTTTTATATATGTCTTCCGGTACTACCCTAATTTGGTGATATCCAGACCTTAAATCTATTTTAGTAAAAACACTTGCTCCTGCCAGTTGATCGAGTAATTCATCGATCTTTGGCAGTGGATAGCGATTTTTGATTGTGTTTTTATTCAGGGCTCTGTAGTCTACACAGAATCATAGCCCACCGTCCTTTTTAAGTGCAAATAAAACAGGTGCTCCGTATGGCGAAGTACTAGGTCTGATGTGACCCAGTTTGAGAAACCTATCAATTTGTTTCTTTAACTCTTCTATTTCTTTTGGAGATATTCTGTATGGACTTCGATGGTTAGGCTGGCTGCCTGGCTGCAGCTCAATTCTGTGATCTACTTGCCATTTAGGTGGCAGCCCGTCAGGCAATTCTACTGAAAAAACATCACAAAATTCTCGCAGAATTCGCTGTAATCTTACTTGTTCTTCTTTACCTTGCACTTTAACGGTCTTGATGGCTGGATTGGTTTCTGACCCTGCCAAATTCACTGTATTCTTGACAGGTGTTATTAATCCCAAGAAAATTGGTGTTCCTTTTCTAGCCATCTTTTTCAACTGAGTACTACTGATTTCTAAGATACCTTATAGTCTTCTGCCCTTACCCTTTTGCTTACTTTTTACCCATTTCTGTCATTTCTGTCGATTGTTAGTTATGGTAGCCTCCTGAGCGTGCACGTGTGAGGTTTGCATAGCATCGACTGTGAAACGACTCACCTTACCTTTTGCAGTCCACGGTAGTGAGTACTGACCTGTTCTTATCTTATATTTTGCTTTACTAATTTTAGCGTTTTGCTATTCAGTATATCTCACCAGAGCAGCCCTTTCATCCGCACCTCTATTAGTCATGGTTTTTACTGGTTTGCATTTGTCATTGTTCTTGCCTACGTCAATTCGATGCAGCTATTTGTCTTTACTATTCTGCAGCCCTTTAAGTACTATACAGCCTGATTTGCTGCGTATTTTTACTTCATTTGTTCGCCAGTTTATATTTGGGTTAACTTTAGTTAACCAGGGTTTCCCTAATATCATATCATAACCTTGTGTGAGTTTAGTAACGCTAAATTTAGAACGCGCTGTGTATGGTCATATGTGAAATCTTAGTGACTTTACAGTTCTATTACCCTCAATGTTTCGCCCATTAGCTAATCTGATTATATCTTTGATTTTGGTGTCTATCCTAATTTTGTTATCCAATACAAAAGTATGACTAAGAAAATTACTTGATGCGCCAGAATCAATCATAATTATAGCATTTTTGTTTGAGACGCTTCCTTTTATAATCAGCAATTTTCTGTACAAACGAGTGTTTACATGTTGATGGATACAATCAGCTCGGAATTCCTTACATCTTTGTCCACACTCTGCAGTGTTCAAAAACTGCTTCATCATCCTCCATATTGCTGCAATGTTCAGAAATTGCATATTTACATCACCATCCCTAATTGGTTCCCAAGGTTCTGAATTTCTTGGGCCAGAATCAAAACAACAATCTGGCCCATTAACTAGTTTAAATGGTCATTCATATTTCCTTCTTGATCCATTTCTGGACCAGCCTCTCGCTGCGACGTGTGGGCCATGCTGTCCCTTTCTTCGCCCTCTTCTTGATGTACTTCACTGGCAGCTGCTTCAGAGGTGCTGAGGGCACCTTCCCGCGTCTCGTGCGGTTGTTGGCTGGGATCCTTGAGGTCCTCGGAGGGGTGGCAGGGCTGGGCAATGGGGTCTGCAAAATTACAGAATTCTGTAAGGGATTCTGTTTCAACATTGTGGAATTTCTGAGGCACCTTTTGCCTACATTCAAAGGCATGGTGTCCTTGCTTTCCACATTTGAAACATCGTCCTTTTTGTTTGCTTTTGAAAGAATTTCTGGTGGGAGATTTTCTTTGATTGCTTCCATTGCTTCCCATTCCGCCATTTCTTTGTTTCCTCCGAAAAGTTCCTCTAAAGTTAGCTGGCATTCTGCTGCTAACAGCTCCCCTATTGTGCTGAAATAGCTGTCTGCCTGCTAGTACATTATCAAGGTCCATTGGTGACCCTCTTCGCATTTCTGGTCTTGGCCGGTCATTAAAGAAATGTGGTCTTCTACTATTAATATGTCCTACTCTATAGCTAGAACCAGGATACAATGAGCTATCACTAATTTTTGCTAATCTAATTGCATCAGCAAGTGTATCTGGATTACGAGATAGTACATCTCTTCTTACTTCTGGTTTCCTTAAGCCTTGTACAAAATAGAATATCTTTTCCGTTTCTGTCATGTCCCTTAACCTAAGGCATAGGGCCACGCACTAACGTGCGTATTCTGTGACCCCATGTCCAGATTTCTGATGTAAGTGGCTTAACTGGTATCTAGTTTCTATAGATGTATTAGTAGTAATAAACTGATATCTAATAGCATTACTGAATTGTGTCCATGTATTAGGACGGCCCGAATCTTCTACTAGTTGCCGCCACCATAGGGCAGCTGATCCCCTTAGTAGTGAGGCTGCATAGTTTACTTGTTGATTACTATCTGTTACTCTACTAGCAAGGAAGTACTGTTCTATGCTAAACAACCATTGACTAATATCTTCACTAGTGTGACCATGAAAGGTCTCTGGAGTGCTGGGCTTTGCCGTGCTTTGATTTTGTATTCTATTACTAAATTCTCTAACAATATCGCGCGCTGTGTCGCGGGCTGCGTCAGCCCTTGCGTCCGACAACCTTAATTCGTGTCTAATCGCGTTGATACTCTGTTCAAGCGCTGTACTTCTTCTCAGAATGTAGTCTAACCACTGGGTAGGTGTCCAGTCAGACTGGGGTACCTGATCATTTGCTCCGCTCGCCGCGCCTCCGCTCTCAGTGCCCCCTGCCCTAGGCACGGCGCCTCCCGCGCCCGCGGCGGCGAACCCGGCCGGCGCACCTCCAGGAAACGGGCCATAGGCCCCGGCCTGGCCGCCAGCTGCATCCCCGGGGGGGAATTGCGGTTGCGCGCCGTCGGCGAAGGGCGCCACGCCATGGCCGGCGGGACCCGGCGGTACAGCGCCATGGTGCGCGGCGCCTCCCTCAGCGCCGTGCCCATTCGTTGGGTGCTGTTGTTCGTTCGGAAACATGGCCGGGACGTACCTTCGAACGGTCCGCGTGAACGCGTCTGCTTGCACACACCAAAGTTAGCGATCGGCTATTTCTGGATGGCTCTATGGTTTGACGGGTGCAAGGATGCACGTCCCGCGACCGCATGGCGAGACCAACGGGCCACAGCGCCTACCTCAAACGTTTGTTTCGGTCAGGCGTTTCGGGTCGAGTGACATAGAACGGACTTTCAACATCGCTGCTTGAGTCCGATGCTGGTCTGGTCGGCACTCGAAGCGGGGGCAGTTCATGAACGGGAACCGGGGGTGGCGAGCGCGCACCCAAGATTGCTGGTCAGACCGGCACGGTGGCCAGGGCCACCGTGGTGTCGCGAGTTGAACGGCCCGCTTCCTGCATCCCTGCAGGTGGCGTTGGGACCGTCGCCATGTAGTTTGCGTTGCCATGCAGTCCGGCGCCACGGTAGCCTTCCATCGGCGGAATGAACCCGCATTTCCAAAATGGAACTCGCAGAGCTTCCACCGTGAGGCTTCGAACAGAGTGGAGCTGCAACACCAGCGAAGTCTCGGGGAAAAACAAGGAGACCAAGTTTGCATTGGCCCCAAGTCGCTCGTGCCGTCCGAGCCCCTCCACGCCGGAGGTCGCCAGCACCGCTTCTCCTTCCTTGGCATTGAGCCAGAGGCGGTCTGTCATGCCTGCATTCGTCATCTAAGCGGGACACCCCTGGGTCACTTTTCAGCAAGTCATCCGACCCAAGGGTCATCCCAGCAATACGAAACCACCAGCAAACGCAATGCGAACGCTGCACGCTCCTCGTCAGTCGGGCAGCGAGCCTCCCGACCATTTGCGCTGCGCACGTGAGACCGGTTGCGCCCCGTCTCATTCGCGACCGAGCCAGACCGTGGCAAAACCGTATCTGGCCATTCCGTGCGGGTTCCTGAGGCCTCACTAAGTGTCTCGGAGTGCTCCCCACGGCGCAGGTCGACGCGAAACACGGTGCCGAGCGTGGCGAAGGGTAGGCCAAGGCAACGAAGGTCTTTTCGACCTCCTTGGCCGTTCCATTTCGACTTGTCGCTGCACCATTTCCTTGCATTACCCTTCAATCCGTAACTCAACAAACATTGTAAGCTTTGTAACTTGATTCTGCATCACTTCCAAGGTCGCTGCGCACGTTCAAGTAGGTCGTGCTTTTGAGCGAGAGCCAACGAGGCTCCAAAACCACTTTGTGAAGCTCGATCGAGCTCCACTTAATCAATTTAACATCCCATCTCGCGTTGACTCGGCTCGAAGTCACGTGGACTTGAGCGTGCCCACCTTAGGGTCGTAGAATCCACTTGAAGAAAGATTGCTCTTATAATGCTTGAGGTTTACAAAACTTGGAAACGGTAGATGCAAGTGCTGAGTCGAAAGACTCAGCCCTTTATATAGTCTCGAGGACTTTGTTCTGGAAATATCTTGATACTACTAGTAACATGCTTAGTAATCTATCATAGAGCTGTCTCAAATATATTCTAGAAACCTGGCGACTATTCTGTATAGTAGTTCACATACTATATTAGTCTTTTGTCCAGAATCTTCTAGTAAATGGCATAACTTCGTTATGCCTTCCCTCTCAAGGGGATGTCGGGTCTTTTCATTCTCTTGAGTATGTTCTAGACCTTTTCATGAGACATGGTGCATCCTTATGATAGATTACATCAGTGTGGCGGTACAACAAGTCTATTCCCGTCCTATAATCGAACCCAATTTCATTCCCGTTTCTCAAATCAAGTCTAATGTACCTTATTATACAAAATCAGCCATATCTTCCTCAATATTTGTCCGTTCGAGTTGATTCTTTTTCTATTAAGTTCTAAATTAAGTCTATTTTTTGTTCATTTAACTATTCTAGCATCATCTAATTTTACAGGATGCTACAAAAAACAAAATTGGATGTCAAGGCAGTGGACTTGGATAAACAACTGGCACTCAGCTCTGCAATGTATATGCATTTAGTGAACTGCTCACTAGTGAGCCATGACCCCTTTGGTATTGTTGGTCTCCAAGGATGGGCAGGTGAGGTATTGATGCTGTCTGTTGTGGGATTTCATGAGAGTGAAGTGTGAATAGCGTTTTGCTATTTGCACGACTTAATTTGAGACATGGCTTTGGACATTGTTAATGAAAGTGGCATCAGAAAATGGCAGCGATTGTGCTCCTGGGCATCAAAGAGCTTGCAAGGTGCCACAACTATGGCCAAAGAGTTGCCAACATATTTTCCTTTCTGCTCATTGCCGGCCGATGTTCACCTGCATAGGCATTCTAAGCCTCCATTCTTTTGTGGCAAGAGCCTCAAGGTTGATGCTCAAGGTTTATTCAAGCTTCATGCTCTTCTTGGGCCAATATTGCTGTCTGAGCTCAAGGCTGTTGGTGCATCTTTTACCAGCCTAAAATCGCTCTTATATTGGCTACCGCATTTCCAATATCCAACTATTGAGATTGGATGGTAGCAAGATTGAAACACTGCCACAAGGAATCAGTCATATGAAGTGTCTGGTTGTATTGTTGTTGTGTCGTTGATACGAACAATATAATGTGGATACAAATTTGGCATTCCACATGCCAAGTTAATGTTCTAAATGCACCATAATAATGGTGGTTGAATACATATGTATTGTTTAGTTTGTTGATTGTAATAGTAGTTCTTGCTTTCTTGCCGAGCTGCCTCTGCCCCCAACCCGTGCAGTCTTGGGCACGTGCCCCGCGGTGGCACCCCCTCGGGTGCCCTGCAAAGTGAAGCAATAGCCGCAGAAGGTGGTGATATACTTGCTAAAGAAAATTGCTGAGATGGACAATCTGCAATGTTTGAACGTTGGTGGTTCTGCACTTCAGCATCTCATAGATTCAATGGAAAAGCTGCATAGTTTGAAGAAGCTTGACCTCAGCTTCAGCTTTGATTTGAAAGAGCTGGCCGGTACATTGCAAAACTTGAGTATGAATGGTTGCGAGCAGCTGGCAGCACTTCCAAACGAATTGGGTTCTCTTCAAAACGTCAGAATGATCTTTCCGCAGTGTGCACCATGCTGATAGGTATGCTAAAGAAGTTATCACTCAATTTAGAGATGTTGGGTTTACAGGGATGTGAAATTTTAAAGAAGATGCTTAATGCAATGGATCTTCCAAATCTGCAAATATTGCATTTGCATGGCTTTTTCAGGCTAGAGCAGTTCTCTAGCTTACACTAGCGAAAAAGGACCAAATAACACTTCTTGCGAACACATATATATGCATTTCGTCAGTGTTCTGCATGCCAAAAACATTAAAATAACCCAAACACGTAAACTTTGTACACGTTTGAGTTATTTGGCCCTTTTTCCCTAGTGCTAGGAATACCTAGCCTATGGTGGTTGGGCATACTTCTGGTTGATTACTTTGTGTTAAATTCAGCACTTGCGGATGCCTAGGAGTTTGTGCAATAAGTGGCCACAAGTGTGGATTTGGAAGATGGTGTGTGCTATTTGGTAAAGGGCAATTTCGCTCAATGCTTTAAAGAATGGATGCGGGGATGCAGTTTTATGCTGAACAACCACAAGGTCACTGCATTCGTATGTAATGTTGAAGTTAGGTGAACACAACACATTTGTTTTGCTCACTATTGCATTTTTGCCTTCCAAG